CGAAAAAATGCGTTTTAGTCTCATATTAAATTTTTTTAACGCATTTTTTCGCTAGGCTAACGCGTTAAACTATCCCTTTTAATTCGTTTTAACGCATTAATGACTTTTTAATAGATGCGAACTTCTTCGTTTATTTTTGGTACACAAAATTCAATGCATGTCAATTTGTTAGAAATTTTTTTGAAGTCGATTAATGCGCGTGAACTTCTTGATATTTCATGCTATTAAATGTGTTAAAAAATGGTTAACACGTTCAAAGAAAATTTTTAGTATCAAAAAAATTCACTTAGAATTCAATACCTTAAATTAGTAATTTTTGTTTTACCAGTATTATAGTGTCTTCATTTGTCACATGGAAATTTTTAATTTCTTTCGTATGTGTGATCCACTGTTTTTCATGGAGAAGTTCATCTTTCCATTTATCAAGAAAACATAATTCAGTAGTTATGAATACATTGACATTGAGTGATATTTAATCCGTATCCGATCATTCGAATGTTACAGATATGCATATAAAAATGTGGATGAGCTAAAGTTTGTTACTTAGACGATGAATATACTGTATCCTAGTAAGAATCGTAGGCACTTCTTAAAATTATCTTAGTGAGATCTTGGTAAGATAATTTAAGATCTTAATAAGATTTGATGACTCTATTTTCATTCACCGTTTTGTTTTGCTCTCATACATGTACATAAGTACCAATGTAAACATAACTGAATTTTACATTGTTATTTTTCTTTCAGAATTTGGTTGTAGTTACTCTCTCGAAAGTGTCCAACAACTTTTCAGAGAAATTACAGTACAAGTCAGAGAAAAGCATTACTCCTAAGAACATGCAATTTCTCTTCATTCTTCGAACCTGTTCGACTTCTATCACTACAGTGTAGGCTAGATATTCGAACATTGTTAGTTAACAGTGAATTAATGTATTAAAAAACGTAATAGTTGTTTCTGTTAAGATACTAACAGATTCTTATCCAAGCTTAGAAACATCTTAGATAAAGTATAGACTATTCTTATTAAGATCTTTACAAAATCTTATCAAAGCTTATTTTCGGCACTCACTATCTAAGTAAGATTTGTCTAAGGTACCAAATCAAAAAAAATGGCACATTTCTTCAAAAAATGCCGCAATGGGGTGCTAGATGGCGTGGCTAGCTAACGGTCCACCTTGAGATGAGAAGGTTCGAATTTTTGTTTTAACTTGAGTTTAAAGCTTAAAAATACAGCATCAGACGCAGTTTTTCACGGTGATGACAAATCTAGACTCAAAAACAAATAAAAGTCAAATCTTCGTGGTGAAAATTTGAATTTCCTGACCTGAATATTTTTTCCAAAAATTCTGAAAACCACACCGTCAGATAGAGAATCAAATTCTCTACCAAAGGGCTCATTCGTTTGATGTTTAGATGCTAAATTTTTTTTTATTTTCTAAAAATAGTTTTGATGCTTATTTTGTGAGCAATTTTATGCCCATGTAATCTAACTTTGAAAATTTATTTTGGGCTGCATGGGATGACAGGCACCTCAAACTATCTATGTGTAAATCAGAGCTTGCTAAGTAGTTCTGTGACAAAAAAAATGTATACCAGACCATCTGTAAAGAAGCAAAAAACGGTGAAATTTCGTAACGGTCACTTTTATTCGATTTCCTCTGCCAGGGAACTAATTCAATAAAAAGTCAGTAGTGATTCTGATAGCCCAAACTGTGTGCTTTAATTTGGTAATTAAGCAATCATTTTAAAACTAATTTAAAGCTGAATTATTTACATTGTACTGGAATACCCAAAAAAACACTTCCATTTTTTGCCAAAAAATGTTACGGAATTTCGGAAATTCCGTAACGGTCTCTATTTTGACTATAACTTTTGATCCGCTTGTTCAATCAAGCTCAAATTATGTTTGGTAGCAGAACTCCATAATCTATCATCAATATAAATTTCATTGATAAACGTTGCTTCTTTGCCGAGATAGGGGGCACAGAAGACGAAAAAATGAAATTCCATAACATTTGGCCAAGCAGTATACGGCATTTGTCTATCGACAAATGTAAACGAAATCTCACTAAGATCTTAATGACATTATTCTAAGATCTTAGCAAGATTCGTGTAAGTTTCTTACTAGGGTGCTGTATTTAAATACATATACTTTATATTATGTGTATTGTGAGACTTTGACTAGACGAACATTCTATGATTTCAATGTACACATGCATTCATTTGAGTACATAGTGGCAAAGATTTTCAACAAGGTAACTCATACTAAGTTCTGTACTCATCTGTTGAAAGGATAATCAGTTCTTGGCGTAGTAGTACAAAGCTGCTATATTAGAATGTCAATGAAACAAAAAACTAGCCGTTCAAAAAATAGAGAGTTAACCTATAAAAGTGTTTATGTCACATATCCTAGATCAATTGTAATATTTATGAGCATATCACAGTTCTATACCTAGCAACAAATATGCACATGAATATTATCTTTGGAATAAGTTACAGAATAATTTTTATTGTTTGCACATTTTCAATGATTATACGTAAGATTCATTCAAATCCATCAGTGATTACAAACATGATTAATTTCCTTGCTGATACACGCGAATTATTAATGGAGTCAATCATTGATCCACTTGCATATCCCGAAGAAGAGGAAGAGGAAGAAACATTGTGGTTAAACAATTCAAATGAAACATTTTCGAACTATACCACATCAATTTCGACAAATTACACAGTTTCCATCTCCCCTTCCACATACAAACCACGGCGAACAACACTATCTGAGGAAGAACAAGAGGCACGATTTATGAAAGGCGTTAGTAATTATTTTTAGTCTGAAAAAAGGTTCAGTATCAGTTTATACTCATAAACTTTCCTCTGCAATTTAGGCTATACGGGCTATTTGGAAAGATAGTAAACAACAACTACAGGTAATGAAATGACTCTGCTCATACAATAAATCCATATTTACCGTTATTCATATGGTACAAATGATCATTCTCTTTTTTAATGTATTAAACCTTGTTAAATGGAAGACAATGTTACCTGCTAAAATGAATTAGAGTTAGACTCGTACTAATCGATAGTACAAGACACAACTATAACGTCAATACGATAGACTTTTTTTATCGTTGACTCAGACTATTCTGCTTTTGAAACTTCTAATCTTAATTATAAGTACGATCTTATGTTTCGTTGAATTTTATACAAGCGTGTGGAACTGAAATAGTGTGTTACACGAATAAAAACCACAAAGTGATCTCTAAGTTTCTGCAGTCTGATCTACTAATTTGTTTCAGTTTAAAAGTCGGGAGTGTGACTTTTAACCGAAACGCAAAGAGCATATAAGATCCTAGCTCAAGGATACCAGGTAGTACCTAAGAACATCAGTTTTTTTGAACCCTCCTTCGAATGACATATAAATAATAAGAAACAAAATTTAACCGGTGGTAGTCATAATAGGACCGAAGTCCTTTTTCTGACGAAAGCTCTCTTAATTGATAAATTATCTTTCATCAGAAATTTTAAAATATCGACACGGGGTTCTGAGGAGGTCCGACATTTGGGGATTTTACACATTTCAAGACGCAATTCACATCTAATTATATCAGAAATTACTTAAGCGACAAACTTGAACGCTTTAGGATATAGTTCAGAGGCAACAAGGAATAAAATGGCTCATTTGAAAACATTTCAAAATGCTTCATTGCTCTACTGCACTTGTTCTTAGATTATGAGAATCATGAACATCCGTCGTATCGAATGAGATTTTCATCATCAAATCGAATTCTAGACTTAATAAGTAATACGTGTATCGATCGCATTCCTCATTTTCGTATAGGGAGGTGTAACTTTTTTTCTAAATTCTGTCTATCACGTGTCCAAACATCTACTACTTACTCGATCTTCTAATATTGATTTTTATCAAATAGTTTATTTGTGTAAAATAACAATTGTGCTTTTATATCCTGTTAGTTTATTAATTTTAATTGTGAGATTATTCTCAATATATCGTGCTCGTAGCAATATTTATAAAAAAAAATGGTATAATCGCTATAATTCAACGATTACTTTAATTGATTCTACTATTTCATTTATACTTTGTGTTATCTTGAATATTTTCAATTGATATCATAAATATTCACTAATAACATCCATAATATATTTTATTATAATAATGTCAATAATAACATCATTTTTTGTTCAACAATATTCAACAATGAAAAGTTATTGTGAACGACAATACCAATAGGACGAAAAGTTTTATTTAGAAGAAGAAATTACAGGTATATTTAGTTATTTCTGATGATTTTTACTCTATAGTCTCTCCAAAACCTCATTGGAATTAGCCATGTGCATGGATACGACGTTTCAAAAGTTGATTCTAATGGATTTTTGTTTGCTTTTTGATGTAGGATACTCTACATCAAACCACTTAAGGATAGATTTTCTTGAAAATATACCGCTCTTTTAAAACACGACAAAATCTTTTTATACGGATGCGTCAGAATTGACAGAGAGAACTATTCGTTTCAATTTATTAGACCTAAAAACAGGACAAAAGTTCACAGGCGAACTCCACATTTTCATATACGAATCTAGTGCTTGAAAAGAATTCGAGTACAAAAACGTATCCCTGACACAAGTTTCGGTTCTCCTGACTTTCAAAAATGGCTCCTGATCTCCTTGAAAAAAATTATGCCTATATGAATTCGCTACATATTTTCTAGAATTCCGATATAACTTTCAATCACGTACTCTATAGAATCGTTATTCATTTTTGATTTTCTACGGTTTACTTCTCGGTTTTCTGTTAATTTTCTATTATATTTTAAATTAGTCCTTCACTTCTGAAAAAGTAAAAAATTCGATTTACCAAAGACATGAACTCGAAATTTTTTAGACATTAGCAAATCGAGGATCAGTTTAAAAAAAGTAGAAGATCAACAGAACATCGAAAAGTAAATCATACAAAATCAAAAACTAATGTTGATTTTATAGAACATATGATTGAAAGTATATCGAAAGTCTAGAAAATCTGTGGCGAATTCAAACAGGCATAATCGGAATATAAGAACATTTTGAGGACACTAACTATTCTTTGATGAAGCTCTGTAAATCTTCACTGGCACTTTTTTATGAAATAAACTGTAAAGAAAAGCGACTCGCTTGTAAACTATTCTTCATGTTTTGTTTTTATGGAGTTTGGACGATATATTGTGGAGTTTGTATTAGCAATATTCCCTTCTTGTGAATTTCTTCTAAACATTATATATACTACCATACTACCATACTGAACTTTTTTTCTGTTGAATAGAGAACTTATATTATACTAGCACAAGTCGATTTTCTGTAAAGGTCTCTATTACCGCACATTAAAGTAGATTATATAGATTTTTTTATTGTTTCCAAAGTAGAGATCTGCATGATCTACTTTGGAAACAATGAAAAAATCTATATAATCTACTTCAATGTGCGGTAATAGATTCAAAAGTAGATCATCCACGGACGGGTACGGACAAGTTCCCTCAATAGTGCTACGGGCACGGGCAAAAAAATCTTGCCCGTGCAGATCTCTGCTCCAAAGACCATTTTCCTTTGAAAAACTGATAGAGTCAAACCTTTTTGGCAAATAGAGTACCTTATGGTATATTATATAAACGATTTAGTTCAGAGTGCAAACAGCATTTTATCTATTTACTGAGATTTGTGCATTTATTCATTTCATTTCCTTATGGCAAAACTACATTTACTATTATTCATTATTCAAGTGTCAGTTTTAGCTGCGATCAGTGCAACTGAGTGGGAGTTATTCCTTCTCTGATACAAAGGAATGATAGAAACCTTACTCCTTTGCCTTTCGTTGAAGCAGCTATTTGTAATAGAAATGCAGGATGGAAAGACTGTGATTCAGACTGTATCGGAACATGTAATAGGTATAGTTGACCTAGTAGGCCTATAGGAATTCAAAATAGAAAACTAATCTCTCTCTCAATTTATTTCTCGCTTTTTTAAGTTCTAAACTCGCTAGTACATTTTCAGTGAAGAAAATGTTTCTGTTCGAATGAGTACTGAAAAATATGACAAAACCAAATAAAAAAAATGCAGTAAAAATATGTATCAATGTATGTCACAATCTGTGTATTTTTCTTCTAATATCATCAGATATCATAGAATTTTTGTTCACTTTAATATGTTATACGTTTTAGGTAGTATTACGCATACTTGGATACAACAAGCTATTGGCAGTAAGTGGTGAAGTTGCTTTACCCTTTTTAAACAAAACAAATATGCATATTTATTTATTTAGCTTTCTTCCAAGGTATGAAACCATCTACATGATGAAAATGTTTCTGCAAGTTTCCTGCACGATTGAAATCTTGGAGAAGATCTCGAAACACCTAGCGGAGATTAGTATATGCTTGATTTGTAATGGAACAGCAACTTGTATTTCTTTCAGTAAGAATGTTTAGTTTTTCTCGTCTTCTCTTCAATTTTGATGAGCTATAGATGGCGCTAATAAGTAAAATGTAAGAAAATTTTGAGACTTTTTTAGTTCTTTCAATTTTTGCATTGATGTTATTTGTGGATAAAGATCTTTGTCTAAGTCGTTTTAACCTCTTTTCTATATTAAATATTTGTTCTCTGACGAAAACCAACCAATCCGAGGCCTTGACAACCTATCAATGCCAGATCAGGGAAACTGAATATTTTGAAGGCTTGTGGATATTACGGGTGGATTGAGCTCGTCGACATTACGTAGTGCATCGAAATCAAACTAAAGATATTCTTAAAATCGAATAAGAGATCAAAAATACCTAAGTTCCAGTGTTTCCTGTATAGTAGAAATACTCGGAATGTGTCGCAGCCTCGATGGAAAAAATGTGTCGCAAATGGCTCCCGGTGTCGCCGATGATTATGTCGCAATTTACAACACATGCGACATATTATTTTTTAATGATTTCGACGAGCAGTGCATATCCAAACGAACGAAGAAAAAATTCACATGAAAACTGGCAAACAAACCTAGTTCTTTTATTGGCATCTGATTTCTGATGGCATTTTTAAAACTTGTTCACTGAACAAAAAGACCGCATGAATGTTTTTCCAACCTGTGCAGATGGTAATCTTATCAGAAGTCAAAGCGTCGTCATGAATGTCTTGAAGAATATGAATAAATAGTAGAACGGGAGACCACGGATGTTCAAATAGTAGAAGTAATACGAATCTGTGTATTTGAGAATTTCAAAGTTCTAGAGTACTCCTTATTTTTTCAACTGGTTTTTTGAGCCGAAGTATTGTTGTCTCTATAACTATGTGAGCACACGTGGATGGAAACAAGTTTTAGAACTGTAGACTGTTACAATTTTGACTTTTATTCTGGATACAAGCATTTTAAATACTTAGGTTTTACTAGTTTTAGAATTTTCGATTATTGAATGTTTTGATTTCGAAATTATTATTAAATCTGTGTTGATGCAAATTAAACAGATCTATTTTTAGCTATGGCTAATATTGATTATGAATAAAGCTCTTAACTTTGAAGCGTCTTGCTTATGTTGAATCTAATAGAAGAACTACAGTTTATTTTCTTTAAATGACTAGTAACTATAGAGTCAAATCAAGGGAATGCTAAGAAAATGTTGACTGAAGTTTGTGATATGAAATTTGCTTTCGCAAGTACGTGAGGCATATATATTATAATTATTGTTCTCATCACTTTCTTTTTCTCAATTAATTTCACAGTGCTTACCCTAGTGAAACTTCTTGTACCCAAGATCTTGGCCAAGATCTTGGGTTAAGAAATTTCAAGATCTTGAGTGAAGCCACTCA